CGGCAAAAGGGAGCGCAGGCCTCGTCAGACGACGCTTAGCCTAATGTTGAATAGGTGCCAGTGTGGTGATCTGCAGGCTGCATGTACAGACTGGAACTGGAGCTCAGTCAGCAACACTTTCCCTTGACATTTTATAACATAATCACCAGGGTAAACTCTGGTTGTGTTTATTTAAGTAATGATAACAGACTGAACAGTCCATGGACATACCTGCTCGTCAAATGTTTCATCAATGATTATTTACAGTAAACAAGCATTACAGATGTATGGATAATACCGATTACTCAGATTTTGTTTAAGAAAGATAAGGTAGTAAAATAGACTTGAATAGCTACAAAAACTTACTTTTTTAAAGGAATTGAATCTCACTTTGATGTGAACATGAAATGGAGTTAGAGAAAATAGACCTTCTGGAATACAAAATAAAAATAATGATGAGCTATTCTCGGGATATAATCATTTTTATGGATTTATTTTGTAAGACACTTTCAAAGCCTACCTATATAATATGTTGAAAGATTAGCAGCTTTGGAAACTGGATCCTTGTTTATCTTTGAAGAGAAGAAAACAAACAGCTTTCTTCTGAAAAGACATATAGAAAACTTTACCACTTATAGTAAAATCTTTAGGCTTTTATCTTTGTTTTTTATTTAAAAGGCATATATGATGATCAATACTAACAAAGGAAAAACATTAATGATAGAATATTTTTGCTTTATCAGTTTTATAAAAGAATCCATGTGGAGCCCAGTTTTGGTAAAAACTGGAAAATATTTCTCCATGTTGCATCAGTTTATCAATTAGAGTTTGTCAGTAAAATAGCTGATCTACTCGAGGGCAGAGGAAAAAGTCATTACTTTAATTAAATGGGAAATTCCATACATTGTCTCCGTTTTCCATCAGGATGCAATTAAGCGTTTAGCTTCAACATCACTTTGTGTTGACCTGATTCTATTCTTGATCTATGTGAAGATCTTTGCCAAATTAAAGAAAACACATTGTTTCCTAGGCCATAATAATGTTGCGTTTAGCATTGTAGCAGTTACACTCCATATGCTTTACAGAATCCCAAGATAAATCAATAACAGATACACAATAGCTGTGGTACAAAAGTAAAATCACAGTTTGCATAAAACTGATTAATGGGCAGGCCAGATGAAGGTCGCAAATTTCTTGAATGTTTATCGCGGCTTTTGTTTTCCAAAACAAGAACCCAGGGTGTGTTTCTGGGCTGTGGCATTCCTCATAGTTGGAAGGGTTGCTGGATTTGACAGTTCTCCAAGTTGTCCCCCCCCTGGCCCCGGGTTCAGCTCGGACACCCCAGACACAACAGTGACAGCTGGGGGGGAGAGATAAATAACAACAGCGTCTCTACCTCCGTTAAAAGATGGCGACTCAGACAGCAACCCGGCGGTCTCTGTGCATCCACATGCGCCGAAAGTTTACGCTCGAGCAAACACGTGTGCTTTTTTTTCCCCTCACACGTTCGCTCCTTCACACTTACTGTGTTCACTGCTGCGAGGGCAACAGATGGAAAAACAAGCGAGGTGAGAAGAGGGGGGAAAGCACCACGGAACGTAATAAAATGCTGTTGGACTTGGCCCGTTAGCAACCAGAATTCCTTTGACAGGTGTAACATGTTTACCAAACAAACAATCCCGGCGCGGATGTCGGGAGAAATGAAAATGGTGACTTGGGTGATGCGTGACCTGTGAAAAGAAGCTCGGTATCCAAGCTGGCATATCTGTGGAGGGCTTTGAAGGTATTTGGGAGAGATGAGAAGACTGCGTGCCACACCAGGATTGCAAAAATGTCTCGCAGAATCTGTCTTATGTTACTGGCCCCAAGCATCCCAGGCAGCTCTGGTTGTTAGCCGGGGCCATCCGGGGTCACAGGCACTGACGGGCAGTTTTGAAGCTTCTCACTTTGCTGAACAGTTTCCACTTTAGGGCAGAAAAGAACTCCTCTCGCATCACAATCGAGCAGAATAACCACTTGGGCCTGTCAAGCCAGACATGGAGACTTCCGTTGTGGGATGTGGTGGCCTTGACCTCCCAACAAAACCACTTACATCCCACCATCTCTCCAACAGACATCCTGTTAACCAGCCAAGATGTTTAGAACTCACTACTGTTGTGTCTGTACACATAGTTCTTAACCCCTTTAAAGCCTGATCCAAGAAAAATAGGAAGAATATTGGATTTTTTTAGTCTGAAGTCTTTATTCGGCCCCTCAAAAACATATGAAGAAAAAAAAAACAGAAATTATTTAGATCAAATTAGCGTGCAATAAGTCAAAAATATATTTTTGTGTAGTCTTCTACTGGCTGTTATCAGGTATATCTGAATGTGTACAACAGGGGTTTGACCAAAGCTTTTACCATTAAATGATGCAAACAGTCTCAGATCCAAAAGACTTCAGAAACCATATGTATCAAATATGATACATTTGGCATTATAGGGTTAAAACTCCAGAATTATGACAAACCAATGCAAAAGGGGACAACGGATTTGTCGATATTTGTCAACATAATTCATTACTTTCTAAACCTACAGGAAATAGTACACACCTCACTCTGGTTGTAAATCTCGTTTTGGAAAAGTTCACATGTGGTGGTCAATAGCCACAAATTGCACGATGATTACTTTGATGTTCTGTAGGTGGAAAATAATTGGAGTGAAGAGCAAACCACATTAGCTAGCCTGAGGCCACACCTTACCTTAGCAGAAAGGAATGCTATTGAAAGTAATTTATCTTGTCCGTGATGACAAAGCATTGATGCATATGCACTGTTAGTTCCATTTTATATTATATTCATACATAAAACACAGAAAACCCATTTGTGGATATGATTGGACTTAGTATAAATACTGTGTTTTTCTTATTACTGTTTTTCTGATTAGTTTTTTATGCACTGTTTGTAGTAGTTTTGAGTGCTGCCTCAGTCGAGACTTTAGGATTCCCAAATAATCTTGAAAGCAAATCAGACGTTTAATTCGGCTGTTTTACCTTTAGGGCAGAGCATAATGATCTTTAATGGAAAGGAGGGAAAAAAAAGAGATCATTTGAGGACAAAAGTGAAACATTCCAAGCAAACACACCCTCTTGTCTCCAGCACGCACATCTGCACTCAGCGAGTCACTTTTATTCTATATACTGGCACTAAAAACAAACTATAAAAGGTAGAAAATTGTACACAAATGTTTTCCCTCGATACAAGACAGAGCCTGTTTATTGTTCTCCGAATCACGTCTTGTCCTCGCATTGGGTGCCTCACAAAAACTCTTCGGGGGCAGAGGAACTTTATGAACGCTCATTTATCTGCCAGCTAATGCTGTTTGCTTTTACAACTTGGAGAGCAGAAATATGAATGAGGCGCTCCGCCCCGGGCCAGAGTTGGTGCTTGATCGGGGATAAGAGACACGTCCTCATTCGGGTAGGAAACATGTTAACCCCTTCGAAAGCCTCTGGTCATGATACATGAAACCAAAGGTGCTGAACTCGGCCTTATAATTTACCGTTGCAGAATTACAGCTGCATGTTCTCCTGAGACACTCACTACTTAACCTTGTCTCCCAATGAGAAAACCTTAAAAAAAAATACTGCAGGGCTAGTTTATTGCTAATCCCTTTAAGTTATGATAACTTTTAACACTTCATCATTCGAAGATAATTCCTGGTCTTGATCTGTGAAACAAAATAACATAAAAAACATTAAGTTTATATCTATCTATAAATCTACTTCTTTAAGGTTGTACACATTTTTACAAGGAAATTCAAGCTGTTCTCTTTAGGAATTTAAGATTTAGGAATTAAAAAAAAAAGTCTGGCTCTTAAAAGAACAAATATTGTGTTCAGAGAGCACATCTGCAGATTGCAATGGTGGAACATTAAATGAAGGTTTGGCCTTCTTTGTCGTTGTGGTTAAGCTAACCTATCAAACTGTTTCTCATTATCCTACATTATGAGAGCCAGCTTTATTCATTTAAGCTCCTGCTGCAAATACATGTTCAGACAAATAAACAATTTGGCTTGCAAATACTGTATAATTTGTGAAGCTGCACTATCTTTTCTATTGACAAGATGATATAGTTCAAGCCAAATATATGCAATGTTGCAGTCCTTCCATGAATAGTGATTTAGGTTACTTTATCAATAGAAGAAAATTGCTCCATACATTTGTATTCTTTGTTAATTGCTTAGTCTTTAAGGTTTAAAGAAATTGATTTTTCTATTCTTGACTCTGAAATATACCTAATAGTTTGGTGAAATGTATGTATCTGCACACAGTCTCGGGAAAAAAAAAACTCTTACAGGACCTGTTAGAATATATATTCTTTATTGTCATATTTATTAATGAAGTACAGAACAATAGAATATTTTATTTGTGACAGGTCACAGATGAAAACACACAGCAAACATCCCTGAGTAGCACTCAAACTCTACATTTAACAGAGAACTGAATCCAAATCACGGATCATCACAAATCATATAAAATTACACTTGCCTAAACAGTGACATGAACATTAACAAAAATCCCCATCCATCTAAACGGATCCCAATTGCTTAAATCTAAGCTTTAAAGAGCATAGAGTGGTAGATACAGTAATCAAGGGGAAACCCTGTAAAAACCCACTGTGGATGATACAACTGAGCTATAAAATGTGCCCCTATGCTTCAGTGTATCTCCGAGGGGCTGAATAGCATGGGAATGAGCTTCTAAAAAGAAGAAGAAATTAGTCCATTCGCAGAGGAGTTGAATTATCTGTCATCCAGCAAAGGCTGATGTTGAAATAGGGATATTTTTGAGGACTCAGATATCACACACTAGTAGTGAGCAGTGGGACCTAAACTCCAGTTTCAACCTCACAGATTATGTCCAGTGACATAAATTGAAACCTGCGTGAGAACCAATGTTTGGTCAACCATTGTGAAACGTATCAGAACGAATGTCAAGAAACTGTAAATGAATGATGAAAACATTTTTCCTTCACTTTATGTCTAAAAGCCAACGTTGCCCCGGGCCATGCAGTAACCCAGTTTGTTTTGGTTTCCCAGGAAGGACATGGCACCCACGTAGGCATCGATGTGAACGGGTTGCATGAGGAGCATGACGCCGTTGGCTTTCCCGGGAACTGGCTTTGCGGCGTGGGCTCGCTGTGCCGCATTTTTGAGCTGATCGAGAAACTTCTCTATCTGTGGACATAAAAGATCAGAAATGACGTGGTTTTAGTGGGTACACACAAAAACCACATGCATCTTAAACATCTGCAAAGGAAAATATTTTCCTCCAAATTGATGAAAAGTCAAGAGCTGTATTTTATTTGATTGGGATATCTCTTGTTCCAGCACTTTTGATTTGAATTTAAATGTATAGGTATTGCTGGAATTGCCTTGATATTCTCTATATACATGTTATATCGATTGATATGATCAGTAACAGCTATACTTACTTCTGCAATAGATTAACTCATATATTCTAGTTAGACAAAAAAATGTTATGTGGACTCAGGCTTTTTTTGGGTGTTTTTTTTTGTAAAGCAGTGCATCCTTTGTAAACCAAGCAATAAATCTTACCCCACTGCCAGACAGGAAGGTGGGCAAGAAGATATTCACAGAACTGGAGTTATGCAAAGATATTCACTTCTTCCCAGTAAACAAGTTTGTAAGCCACACCAGAAAGAAGCATTGGCTGTGCTGAACCACAGTGTCTGATGAATATGTGTTAAAGTAAGCTACTTTTGGACTATTGACTAACTATTGGCTAACTTATGGGTATTTAGGACTGGATGACAGGAGCCAGCCCCTCACTCTGGAACTGAGGATGTGGTCAGCCATCTTGTCGATGTTAGTTTGAATCTCTATGTGAGACACTAAGGTCTGTAAAGGTGTTTTTCTAAATAGAAAACTGATTATGTACGTGAATTACAGGTCTAATAATTTAGCAATAAGTTAGCTTTTTTCAAAAGAGAACTTAATTATTTATTTAGCAGCTCAAAAAACAACACTTGGCTAAAGGTACATAACTATATTTATCCTCGAAAACAATAAATGATAAATGATAAGTAGACTGTTGACACTAAAATAAAATAAATCCCCAAAAGAACTGTAGCAATTTCCTTTACGTGCTTGAACACACTATTAAAAACTGAAACTGTCCTCATTCCACTTTTGATGGATATTTATTTTTCAGACATAGGCCCCCAGTTACAGCAGAGGACTTTACTAATATTCAACTTCTCGAAAACAAAACAGATTTGGAGTTCTGGGAAGAAGGTAGAACTTGACTGTCTGGAGTGAATATTTTCAGGATAACCGTTGAGAAAAACTGTCGGTTGCTTCCGTCTCTGGTTATTCATGTGTGGTTAGTATGTGTTTAGTCATCGGCTAGTGTGTGGGCAAAGCGAATTCCTTGTAAAAACGAGGTTAAAAAAGAAGATCAGCATCCTATTCGCTTGCAGTTGGAATGAGCTAATCATTTGTGTTATAAGACTGCATCATATATATCAAATAAAGTCAAAATAATGTAATAATCCATGGTTTGCTTGGTTAATCTCATTTGGGAAGGATAAGTGTAGCAGGTATTCCTAAAAATATTTTGTCCATTGCACCCTTTCCCTCTACACAAGAACCCATGTGTAAGCAAAACGAGCACAGACATGTCTGATTTGATCCATAAATTTGATTATTTTCCGAAATTTCATTGTTTTGTTGTTTTGGACAAATTCCACACATTCACATCCTGACACCTATAAAAGAGTTTAGTCTTAACCTAAATTCTGACAAATGAGTTCACATGCTGGTGATATATATTCTTATCACATTTTTGACACCTGGATCAAGGTGTGTTTCAGTTCAGTGTTTGGAAAAGGGTGAATTACACAGAACTGCTTTTTGATGCCTAATTTCAGTTAGTCATTTTCCTGTGATGACTCACTTGGCCTCGCAACGAATGTCACAACACACTTACTTTCTGATCTACTGCTAAGAACACCACGCACATCTGCCTGGATTATAGAAAGTTAGGGAAAAAACAATATTTGAAACAGTAATGCAAATGAATACCAAAAGTATTCTGTTTACAGAATATTTCAACACAGGTAGATCTGCTAAAAACACTTTATGGTTGCCAGTAACACTATTTACCCTCAGCTTCTACAGGCTACAAATGGTTGCAAATGACATCCCTCCTTAAATGCAGCTTGTTTCTTATTTTAACGGGGGTATGGCAGACATCAGCCTATTGCAAAAACCTTGAATGAGCAGAAAACAGATTGACAATAAAACCGTAAGTTAGTTTCAGAACCTCAACATAGGGGTTAGTGTCAATAGATGGGAGTATTTGTAAGAAAAAGTAAACTGTGGCCACTCTTTCAGCCCCAACTCGTATTTTTTTGTGTTTTGTGCTCATTTTTACTCCCATCACAGCTCTACTGGATTAGAGCCTCTAAAAACAACAAAAAAATACTGCCGAGTCATTGGATACAAGATTAAATGCATTTCGAAAGAGCCAGATGTTAATCGGGGCTTTTTATTGAATGTAAAACTTACATTACAAAGAGAAGTAAAGGTTTCATTGGTGTTCCTCACTGGGTGCTGGGTGAAAGTGATGAAGGGAAAGTCAGTGGCGAAGGGGTTCCATCTGGAGACAAAGGAGGGTTCTCTCAGTCGGTCCCAGAAGACACGGATCCCTTCCCCTTCTCTCCTGACAACACAGAAAAAACATTTCAAATGAAAGTTTCCTCCACTGTCATCCAGTTCTGGCTCAAATGTGTTCTAAAAGTTCAATTCCAGTACTCACATTTCAAGGAAGTGGCTCCTTACATATGTAATATGTTGCTTATTCAGATGGGAGCTTTAAAAAAAACAACTCACAATGATACTTGTGAGAAAGTTTCTAGCTGAGCATAGTAGCATAGCGAAAATAATATACCTGGTGGGAGTAAGTAAGATTTGTATCGTATTTTAAACTGTATGAACAACAACCTTAACAGGGTTGAATCTAGTAAATGACCCATACTTTTCTGTCAGGAGATGCTTATGATCTTTTTTCAGTCAATAGACTTCTATGACTTCTATGAATCGACATCATATATCTATAAGTCGCAGAAATTGAATCCAATTTTGCTTTGAAACAAATATTAGTGAACTTGTAAGGAACCTGAACATGATCCTAAAAATACCGGAAGCACCACCCAGGAATGAAATGGAAGTGAAAATAAACTAATCAACTGAGTTTGAGAAACTAAAAGGCAAAAGAAGCACAAAACATATCACAGATATTCCATAACTACACAAGACGAAGTTTGAAAAAACAGAAAAATGACACAAAATATAGATCCATTAACTTCTTTTTGGTGCAAAAATGATGAATGAAGTGGGAAAAACTATAACAACAAAACAGTGTGTTTCACATAGCATGTGAAGGAACAGTTTAGCTTTTGAGTTGAGATTCTGTCTACTTGTAAACTAGACAGTAAATGAACTGCAGATTGTTTGATATGAATCAATTCTAAAATTTTTCTCAACATAATCTAAGCTAATGTATTTTAAAACTATTGAAGCATATTCTAATACCACAACCAATGTAGAGTACACTTATATAACCTTTACTGTGACATTTTCAAGCTCCATTTTGCTACATGATTTTCATATAAAGCAAGGAATCAGGTCTGGTAGCTCCACGGAGACAATGTTAGAAAAATAGAAAGAAAAAAAAACTCTCCTTAGGGTAAAGACTTAATGTAGGGCAATCTTATGTTTAACAGGATTAGAGTTAAACTACAGTGAGTGGATCATGGTCTCTTTCTTCTGCTGTGTTTTCTTTAGTTTTAAAGTAAATACAGCGGGTTTTTAATGAAAAAGCCTGCAGGTTATATCTTTCCAGAGCCTTAATGAAACCTCAGAGGACTTAGTGCAAACACACCTCTAAACAGTTGCATATCCCATCTTTGAAAGGATGTTGTAACTGATCGGCATTCCATTCTCTATTTACTGCATGTCCATCAAACGAGATCTATTGCTCATTTGTCTACGAGTGTAATAACCTAGATGAATGCAAATTCTAAGAGCAAACGGCCAAACAAAGTTTGAAACAGCACGGTCTAAATCTCCTCCAAATGAAATGTTGTCACATGCCATTGAAATGAAACAAAACAAACCCATCAAAATAACTCATCTATAGAGATTTCAACAGTGGCCTCAGTATATTTACTAGTTGAATCTAACTTAAACAATCAGCAAAAATTTTATTGAATCTCAAAAGGTAAACTCAACATTTATAATTACAATGGAGTGCGATGGAGCTGGTGGTGCTAAAGGCAGGAAAAAACAAAGACTAAAATGTGAGTTGAGACCCAGAATGGCCGAACTTCAGAACACTGCTGCAATGCAAGCAAAAATATAGTTTTTCTTGTCTTCAAAAAATAAGTCATGGCAATTTGAACTAACATGACTCAAGAGAAGCCAAAAATTCTAATTCAAAACTGTACTTAAGTACAGTACTCAAGTAAATTGACTTTTTTACTGGTCACCCCTGTATAAATAGATACATACATATGTATGTATGTATGTATGTATGTATGTATGTATGTATGTATGTAT